TATATATATATATATATATATTAGATACGTAGGGAGAGAGAGAGAGAGTAGGTAGGTTGGTAGGTAGAGGGATAGAGAGAGAAATAGAGTGAGGGGGAGAGAAATACAGCAAATAGGTAGGGAGAGAGAGTGTGTAGGTAGTACATAGATAGATAGAGGGGGGGGGAGAGAGAAATACAGTAGATAGGTAGGGAGAGAGAGAATAGATAGGTTGGTAGGTAGATGTTTCCAGGTGTATTTATCCATGTGCTAGAGAGTGAAATCGCTGACAATCTGCAGCACCTAAGACTTTGTTTTTGCAGGCACAGCACTTGATTAATGTAATTCTCATCAATCAGTTAAAGAACTTTCCAAAAGGGGGAAAAAAAGTTTTTGCACTCTGCAAACCTCCCCAAAATGGCCCATTTTTCGCAAAAACAGGCCTGTTTTTTTAAAAGGCATGAATAGCCTTGGGGGGCCTTGGGAGTGCTCCTGGTGGGCTGGGGGGGGGAATGAGCAAAAAATTGTTTTTTGCAAAAACTGGCTCATTTTGTGTCAAAAAATTGTATGCATAGCCTTATGGAGGCTTATAGAGTGCTTCTGGGGGCTGGGAAGGCAAAAAATGGCCCGTTTTTTGCTCATTTCTGCCCTCCCCAGCCTCCAGGAGCTCTCTGAAAGCCTCCATAAGGGTATGCATGGCCATTTTGGTGAAAGGGGTGGGGCTTCGTGAGACAAAAAATGCTATATTTGATGTATAAGACGCACCCAGATTTTCAGGCTCTTTTTTGAGGAAAAAAGGTGCATCTTATACTCTGAAAAATACAGCAGTTCTTCAAGAAAGAGACTAACAGAACAGATTAAAGTGGGACTTCACTTAAAGTGGCTGCCTTATGATACGGAAAGCCATCAGCACTTTCGCCTGGCCCCAAATCAAAATGATACGTTGTGCTCATTTCACTAAGCATATAAAAATTAAAGAGTATGAAAAAAGCGTTCCTATTTCTGACCATTTAGTATAGGTAGACCGTGTATAATTGACATATCATAAATTTTAGTTCTTATTTATTATTTTGTACTAGAATTTATAATTGTACATTTACTGAGTGTTTTTATTTGTTCTGGTCTCTGGTCTATGACTGTAATAAACTAAATTGAATTGAATATTTCTGACCAAAATAAATAGCTCGCCAAATAAGCCACCTGACTTTGTAAAACGCACAACTGCCTTCACGTAACTTAAATCCTGCACGAAGAACTGATTTCAGCTCATTGGCATTTTTATACTGCACCTTTTACAGCTTTCCTAATTCACCCTTACTCTACTACATGTAGTGCTTGAGTTACAAACAATGCCTGCAGGGCATGGAGAGGCCCAGGGAAAGAGAGTGCAGTATGTGTACTCTATATGTATGTGTAAACTCAGGAAGGCCTAGGAACAGTGTGGTGTGCAAAAAGGCAGCAGGGGAAGGGGAGACTAACCACAGTGGACTTGTGATTTTCCCTGTTGGGCTTCTCCATTGATTTTGCTTATGAAAAGCCAGCAGGGAAGATCACAAATGGCAATTGTATGACTGTGGAATGCTGCAACCAGTGTAAGTGTGAGCTGGTTGCCAAGCACCTGTATGATGATGACATGACTCTGGGAATGCTGCAACAGCCAGAACCCCAAGGCTGGCTGCAAGTATCCCTTATTCAGCACATGGCTGATAAATGGAAGGTCGGTGAGCGAAGGCTACTTGTAATCAGATGAAGAGGAAGCAACAAGAAGATGACCATTTCACTGAAATGTCATCTTCTAATACCATTCTGGTTTCACTCTTAAATGGCTGTATGACGTTCAAGAGCTAAAAGAGCCTCTTTTAAATTTAAATACCAAATGCCAAAGCAGATCTGCTTACTGAAGTCCAAGTGTTAATAATGGGGATATAAACATAGTCTACTATCAAGAGAATGTAGCACATTTCAGTTGTAACCATTAGATTTTTGGTTGCTTTTGTGTTTATACTCTGGTATTATTAAGGCAGCAACTCAAAGTTCAGGCTTCCTTTTAAAACTAAAAGCTTCCAATTTGCACACTTACAATAAGATTAAGTATTCATCATCACTGGCTGAATTTTTTTTCCCTCTGTCTTCTCTTTCTCTCTTTCTACGCTGCTGCATTTGAGGCCATATATTTATGCAAATTTCCTTTGCTTTTTTCTAATGAAATGAAGATTTAGGTCTTCATTCAAAGCGCACCAAAGATACTCTGTATCCTACTGAAAGAATTCAAGTAGATTTAAAAGGAAAGGGTGCATTACATGACTAAAGAAAATAAGTTTTACCAAGAGAAGTATACATTTTTAGGCGAGGAAATGTCACTGTTTATATTTGTCTTAATTCTGTGGTCATGGGCATCACTTTTTAAACTGAACCCAAATTCATAAAACAATTCTACCAGAGTAGATAACCTGGCATTATCCAGACCATTAGGAATATAACTTCAATAAGCTTCAGCAACTATAAGAGTTGCATTCAAAAACATCATCGGGAAACTACCAGCTTGCCTACTGCTCATTCATGGCTGCCAGATCTAAAGAAGCTGCCTTTTACAACTTCTGTCCAGTAATCTATTTATGGAAAAATTGATGGCTTGGCTAGAACAATCTGAAGTCCCAGGACATGGTACGGTTGGAGACACAGTAAAGCACCTGCATCCAAAGTGAAGCATGA